TTATCGCAAAAACAAAATGGAGCAAAAACTGCCCAAATCGACCCACCTCCTTTTACAGTTGCAGATTTACAGAAGAATCCCTCTTAGGTGGAACACCCTGTATAATAATTATCCAAAATAAGTACTAAAAATGATACTTCTAAACATGATTAATGTAAACACAATACATGATATATTGCAATCGAATTGAATAATGTTATCATCGTTCCAAGAAGTATCTTGTATTTTTGTTGTTTTAACATTACCTTTGACAAAGTTAAAAAAGCTATTTACATTAATTGTATTGTAATATCCGATATTTCTGACGATGCCATTTCAAAATGCATTTTTTTTAATGTTATATTTTTTATGTGTAACTTTGTTCTATTAACATTTATTAATTCGATTCGGAAGGAGGCCACCTAATGAAATAATTCTAAGCAAAATGTAAAAACGTAAAGATCTCTTTGTAGGTATGAGTTTTTGTATTAAATATTTAGACATATCATATTCATATTTTATTTTGGATAATTACTTATTACTAGCTGTATACAGGTTATTTTTGGAATAATTCAACGCTTGTTGAGGTATGTAACCCAACGAATACGTTTCCCGCAGTATCGACCGTTAAAAATCTTGTCTGTAAGGTTAAATATATTTTGCATATTTTGCATACTTGGTATTGAAACATTGTTTGACTTTCTGTGATAAGATTTTTTAGAAAAAAATTATTTGAATTTGTTTAAATTATCTTAATACTTTTAAAATGTAGAAAAAATACGGGAGCTAATCACATTCAAATTTACAAATAGCTGTCCTCTGGGATTGGGGTTACTGCAATTACTGAATTGTTTAGGGGAACTTCAAATTTTTTAATGCATTGCATTGAATGAAGCAGCGGTAGTCACGCTATGAGAAAAATATTTGAAAATAGAACTACCTAGATATCTACAAAAATATTGTCAACAGTCTTATGACCAATATTAGCATCAGCACAAGCGTACGTACCATGTTACAGTAATCTTATGGTACCATTCTGAGACGTTGTAAAGACAAACCGCAGTGGTGGAGGAACGCAACTGTAGGAGTTCATGGTCAGTCTCCCAGAACTGTGTTGAATAAGACAAACAACTATGCAAATACTCTGTGATGTGGTGCTTGGTGAAATGGAAAGTTTCTTATTTAGTTAAGGTAAGTAAACATTAATTTAAATAGAAACCAATCTTTGATATTATATTCAAACGCAATTCTATCCAATTTCTAGTTTCGTTTCTCGTAAGACTGTATTATATCGCGATCAAGGTTTCGAGGAATATATTCAACCAGGTATAATTTGATTCACGTAGCGACATCGCACGAAAGCGATATAAACTATTGTATAGACCCACGTAAGGTGGAGCAGGTTTCTGTTTGTATCCATAGGCGGGGAAGTCTGGTAACAAACATTGCACATTGACAAGGAAATAAATTATAAAATCTTACGAAAAGGTTCTTTTGTTCTAAAGTGGATAACATAAACAAGGCATTTACTGTTTAGAAGCATACTTGAAAAAGATTTAAATTTACCAATTTTGAAACATAAATGAAACAAGATAATAGGAAATTATGTTTTATATGATTGTAAAACTAAATCATCTTTAATTGTGATTAATAGTAGTAGGCATTTACTGTTTATAGGAGCATACTTAAAAAAGATTTATATTTACCAATTTTGAAACATAAATGAAACAAGATAATAGGAAATTATGTTTTATATGATTGTAAAACTAAATCATCTTTAGTTGTGATTAATAGTGTGATTAATAGTGATTAATGGAAGAGGGCAGTGTGAGCTGAGGTTATTTAGATTTTTATTAGAAAATCGCCAATGAAAAAGACATGATTAACTTTTTCCCGGTAAGGGCCATTTAAGAACCCTTTAGGGTTTGAGAATTTTGATTTTTTTTCGTAAAACTCTAAAAATACGCTTAACCGAATAAAGGGTTTCGGCAAAAAATAAATAAAAAAATTGTTGGTGTTATGTAACTCGATTAATAATGAATTTTTCAAAAAGTATATAGTTATATAATTCTTTTTATGAGTTAAATTTATAGGTAACATTTGCCGGATAACATAAAAAACTCAATAAATGTTCTCAATATATTTATATTTTTAGACTTAGAGGATATAAAATTATTTATTGCAGTGATCTATGAACATAAATACGAAAAATTATGATAAAGTATGCAAGGGCTGTGCAAAGTTTACAAATATGTTGTACTTATAATGTATTTAACATGTAAACATACAGGGTGGTTAATTAACTCAGCAAAGTACAATAGCTTTATGGTCATTTGATATTAAATGTTCAAATAAGGGACGCGATCAAAGAAATTATTTTCAATTGTATAGAGCGATGTGTGAAAACAGTGCGTCCAAATTGTTATTTTTTCAATGGAATGTCATTTACTTATGTATGAATAATTTTATATTTGGTTGCGACGAATTATTGACAAAAATGGTTATACAGGGTGTCTCTAAAGAATCTGTACAACACTCTACCAGATATAGAACGGCTCAAAATAAGTCGATTTGACTAAACTTGCCTTAGTCCAAAAATTGATAATAACGGAGCTACAGTTGAAAAAATAAATAACATTTTCTTTAATTCAAATTTATCGGCGAATTCGTTGTATCTTCTAGAGGGCGCCACAAGCTACCTACAACTACCAAAACTTTTTTGTGTCGCGGTGTATTTCACTTTGGGATGGAAAAATCTTTTTCTCCAACTTTTCTGCTTAAAAAAGTTAATCTTAATATCTCTAAAGACAATCTTTTCAACAAAAAGGTAATTAAATTTGTAAATACATAAAAAAATTTGTTTAAGTTATTTTCAACTCAATTGAAAAATATATCTTTTAAGACAGGTCAATAATAATTAGTTATTTTTTAGATTTTTAGTTCGTTTAGATTGTGTTACAATGATTAGATTGATTTTAGAAAGTATGTTTTTTACTCTTGTCAATTCTGTTTGCAATAAAATTGTTATATAAACCAAATTTAAAACTGTAATTGCACTGTTTCCTTTAAAGGGATATTTTTTGCTAATAAACGATTGCTCCTAATTTCAGTGGAGTTCCACTTATTTTGAGCCATACTATATCAGGTGGTCCCTTTAAAGACACCCAGTATTATACGAGGAACATGGTATTTTAAAATTTGTAATAATTAGAATCAAAATTTATAATATGAAAAACGAAAGTTGGTCAAACCCTCCAGGTCTATGAGAAATTTATTATTTCATACAGGATGTGATCTGTAGAAAAGCCAACTTTAATTTCAATTTCAAACGACATTTTCTCCGATTTTTCATCTGTCACACTCTGTGTATAAGAAACACGTTTTGTATATTTTTTTTTGTACTCTAACATTTATTACAGTATATCTACAAGAAAATAAATTATTAAAAATTTGCTCTCACGACTAAAATTTATATAGAAAATTCTACTCATGAATTATTATTTATGAAAATGTCTGTATATTATATTGAAGTACAGTAACAAATATATGCAATAAATTATTACATATACATTTTATTATTTCTTGGAGGCACAAATACACAGCCACACAAAAAAAAAGTTGGGTATACTTTTTATGCGACATATATTTTTCGTAGTAATTTGCCCTCCTGAACACGAATCTGGGATCAGAATTGGCCCATCACGTGACAATTTTTTCCTAACCTCAAAAAACTTGTGAAAAATAGTAAAAATTGAAGAAAATTTACTGGGAAAATTTGGAAAAAAATTTATTTCATTTCCACATCAAATAGTACATTTTTATGTAAAAGACTCTGCTGAATACAAATCCACTGTTAGAATTGAGCTAGAACGTGTGGTTTTTTTTCTAACCTCAAAAAACCGAGCAGGAATCGCTATTTTCAAATTCTTAGCGGATTTTGACCAGATTTTGTATAAAGGGGTTTTTTGGGTCGCTGATTACGAATATGAATTCACATTGTAAAAATTCAAGATGGTTGATCCAATATGGCGGGTGTACTTTTTTGAAATCCACCGATTTCAGTAAAATTTGGCATCATAAGGATTGCTGGTTGATCTCACCTTCATTAATCACACATCTGGAGCCAGATTTTCATAAATCAAGGTAAAAGATTCCACTCCGTCTAAAAATGTGACTTCGCTTAAAAAATGACTTAAGGACTCTACACATGTAATGATGTGTAGTGGGATGTGCTTGTTTCCATGGGACAAGACAAAAAAGTTTCTACTTTATTCTTTCACATTTATTTAGTCGTGCAAGGGCTTATGGTTTTCCAATCAGATTTTTTTAACTACTGTGCAGTTTTCTTATGGCATTTAGATGCTTTTATTTCTTAATAATTTTAAAGTTCAAGGAGAAGGACACATTACTGCCACACAGCACATCACTGCATCTGCTTATGCCTTCAATCTAAAAATGTGACTTTGCCGAAAAAATGCCGCCTACTCGGCCTAAAATTATGACTCTGCCTACAAATTTGATTCCACCTGAAAATCTGGCTCCAGATGTGTGATTAATGAAGGTGAGATCAACCAGCAATCCTTTATTTAAAACTTATCTCAAGCGCCGCGTTAGCATTCATTTTTTAGTATTAATTATATCTTAATCTCAAACTCAACCATTACATTATACTTACTTAAATTAGCTTTACTCAACTGGCTCAAATGACTTGAATTTGTATCTCAAGCTTTTTTTTTACAAATTTTAATCTTTGGCTTATAAATACTTATTAGTTACTGAGGAAATAATTTTAAATGTGGTATAAATGCTGATCTAACTTCACGAACCTACTTCATAAATAGTAACTCACAAATCATACCACTTTTTATACAATTTGCTTATTAGCTGACAAGAGGGGTCAAATTTTATCTCTAAATTTAACGTTTCACAGTTAATATTATATCGAGGCATTATAAATAAACATTAATTGATCTTGTTAAACTTTGTTTTAAAATGTACACATTTGTTTTAGTTTCAATAACATGATAGCTGGACCTTTAAGGAGATGTAAGCGACTATTTCCTGTGATATTGTTTTTCCTAACTATTGTGATAATAGTAGTTATTACTAGATTAATCCATGTTGACAAACAAAATGAAGCATCCACGCCACATGTTTATAGGTAAGTGACATTTTTTTTGTAAATTACGTACCTACTAGTTACTTGAAAATTTTAGATACAAGAACCAGGAAGAGTACGTGGACAAACATGGCATTAGAGTTGTTGTGGGCCATTATGTAGGTAACCCCGTGGGTAAAATTCCAAATGCCACGTATGACATGATAAACAAAAATAATTTTAACCCTAGTCCCGCAGCTGGAAGGAATGGCCTTCCTGTTGTTATGGAACCTAAGGATTTGCTAGAAATGCAGCAACTTTTTCAAATTAATAGGTTCAATCTGATGGCCAGCGATAAAATACCTTTAAATCGAAGTCTTCCAGATTTTAGAAGAAAAAGGTAAGTCTCTCAATTTATCAGATATAATAATAACTAAATTGACATGAAGCAACGGCACGGAGCTTTTTATATAATTTTTTTTTGTCGAAGTATGGATAATAACTGCATTGTCAAAAAAGGAAAATAGGAAACAAATACATTTTTTCATATCTGCTAATAAATATACTTACAAACATTTACTCTATTTGGAGATTTCGAATCATCAAGGAATTTAAAAAGTAATGAGCAAATTTTGTTTTTTTTTTGGGTACTGGCGAAAAAATTTTAAAAACTAATTAAACAAATCTTTACGTCACAAGGATGGTTTATACTATTACATTTTTTTGACAGTTGGAAGAATATTCAACTAAACAGACCATTTCAAACAAGATTTACTTATTTATTTACTTATTTTGTTTAGACCAGTGGTGACAATTAATTTTTATTTAATACCGGGTGTCCCATTAAGGTCATCGACCGGCTGTATCTCGGTAACTATTTGTCCTATAGATTTCGGGAAAAAAATTGATGACTAATATAGCCACTAGAAATTCAATAAAATTATTTTTAGCTTCTAATTTTGGCCGCTAGAGGGCGCATTTCTAAAATAAAAGTAAAAAAATGAAATTGAACGATAGATATAACAATGTTTTCGAGATCTACTCATTCTTCAAAATTTTTGTTGGAAAAATTTTGCTCCATCTTAAAAAATAAAGGAAGGGGGGGTGAAATTATTTCCTATAACAGAAAGTAAGATAACTTTGGACTACGTAAACCGATTTCAATAACGTTGGGCTTGTTGAAAAGGCAATTGATTGCTTAATCATAACCTTTATTGAATTTCAATTTAAAAAATAAACAAACCGTCAATTGCCCCTGTTTTCCAAATGAAAGAGTTTTATCGATTTTCAAAAATAAGTTCAAATATAACGCAATCTTTTTTATTTTGTGTTTTTACACATAAAATAACGAAAAGAATGCCTCAAGCCGGAACCTTGTATCTTCCTTCAAACTGAAGTTATTAACAAAAGTTTATATAAAATGATATTTTTTTGAGGAGTTAAAGAAAAATGCGTTATTTATTGCAACTTCCAGTATTTATCTGCATAGAATACCGAGCACCTGATAAATTATTACTATTTCGCATCATTTTATCGGAAAATTAAAGTATACGTTTTGTAGTATTATACTTCTACTTTTAAAATCCGGCTGAAAAATTAAAATCAGACCAACTCCAACGCACCCAGAAACTTTTGCAAAATAGTGCATAAAAATTTCAAATTGCAATTATGCCAAAACTAATAGTCTGACAGCGTTTGCTTTGTGCAGACTTAAGTACATATAATTCACTACTTTTGTGCACAGGATCAGCTCTACAAGTTAAATAAAACATGGCGGACTAATGAATTAAAAAAAAACGCTAAATTTTCCGATTTTTCCGGGTTTCCTTCGTTTCTAATTATCTGATCTGATCGATGGACCTTTCGTTTTATTCGTATTTTGATTCTCTACAAATTGTCTCTTTATAGCATTCATGTTGCTTCGTTAGTTTAGGTAAAAAAGTATAAAATGCATTTTTTTGCATAGAAAATTTTATAAAAAAATTACTAATGGTAAATTGGAGTAAGAAACATATAAGTATATACTATTTTTTCCACGGTCTCATTAACTTAAAAACACATATTTTGTCATTATGAAGTCAGTAGCACCAGAATTATTGTATTCGGATTTGAGCATTTATTTAGTAGTCGTTGAGTTATTGTCATAACTACAAAGTAAACAAACAAAAAGAATTGTCAAATTAAGGTGCTAGTTTAGTTTAGTTTAAAGTTTGTTTAGTGCACAATGAATAATTGTGAGTCGGAAGAGATTGTGGAGGCTGCAAATATTGCAATAAGCAATTTGCTGCCTACGAAGTCAAGATCTTTATACGATATAGCCTACAATCGGTTCAAAAAGTGGTGCGCCGAGAAAAATGTTCAAGTATACAGCGAGAATGTTTTGTTGGCATACTTCAGTGAAAATGCAAAGAATTACAAGTCTTCCACATTATGGGCGCAATATTCTATGGTTAAGTCATGCTTGATAATTTACGACAACATAGATATAAGCAAATTCCCCAAGCTGATCGCATTTTTGAAAAGAACCGGTGACGGATATCAAGCGAAAAAATCGAAAATATTGACAAAGGGTGAAATCGACCGTTTTCTATCAAGTGCAGATGACAAAGAATTCTTAATGATTAAGGTAAGATTACTTTTGTTGTTAGGTATTTCAATTATTAAGTATTTTGATTTTTTATAGGTTGGATTAATTCTGGGGATTGCCGGAGCTTGTCGAACTGATGAACTAGTCAATTTAACTGTAGATGATATTGAGGATGTAGGCTCTTCCTTGATTGTAAAAATTCCAAACACTAAGACAAAGATTCCACGAACCTTTGTGGTTACCGATGTGGGAAATATGCTTGAATTGTTTCGAAAATACCTGTCCCTTCGTCCTCCCCACGTCAAGCATAAGCGCCTTTTTTTGTACTACAAAGCAGGAAAATGTAGTTCGCAGCCAGTTGGCAAGAATACCATGGGAAAAATTCCGAGTGTAGTAGCTTCGTATTTAAAATTACCTGATGCTGCATGTTATACTGGTCACTGCTTACGAAGATCTTCAGCGACATTACTGGCAGATGCTGGTGTGGATATCACGACAATAAAGCGTCATGCTGGTTGGAAATCAACGACAGTCGCTGAGGGTTATGTCGAGAACTCCATTGAAAATAAGACCAAAATTGCTAATCAGGTTTTAGTAGGTACCACTACTAGCGCAATCACAAAAACTGTAAATGTAAGCGAAAGTAATATTCCTTCTAATATTAATTTTGAAAATTGTACAAATGTAACATTTAATTTAAATGTCAATAAATAATTTCATTGTTATCTTTTTTATTGCATGAAAAACGTTCTCCATAATGTAAACTCCCTTGGGAGCATTATACTCCCTTGGGAATAATCGACTACTTCTATTTTAATTTTGATGTCATAGAAACTGATTTCTACTCCTGACCGTGGAAAAACATATTTTATTCTCTTTTAAACATCGTATTTTGTGTTCCTAAATGGTTTCCTTAAAATGGAACGTACTGTATACAGTGTGCAATAAAGTTATTGCACCTTCTAGGTATTCTTCACAAAATCTTAAATTTCAGGTGCACCACCCTTTTCAAAGACTACAGTTCCTATCCGAAAACTAGTATAATCATCGTATTCCACAACGAAGCTTGGTCAACTCTACTCAGGACGGTGTGGAGTGTGATAAATAGGTCCCCAGATGGGCTAGTCGAAGAAATAATATTAGTCGATGACGCTAGTGAGAGAGGTTTGTCATACCATCCATATTATTATAACTATTTTTTTTTTATTGTAACGCTCTGTATCTCGAAAAAAATGCGTTTTCGGACTCATGTAATGACTATGTAATATGTACGTAAAAATATATGTTGTTTCTAAAATGATTGATTTTTAATCGAATATTTATTTAAATAAGAACAATAGAAGTATTTTTTTCTGAAATTCCAGTTTCCGACATGTCACATTTTTTAATGTTCATTAAAGCAGTTAATTTTGCTTAATCACGAATATCTCATCCTAAGAAAGTAGTTGTTTGCTCACGATTACACTATAAACACTATACCAAATAAAATATTGCTAGCATTTAGAAAAATGTTTCCCTACTTTCGTTCTTATAATTATAATCAACTTAACTGAAAAAAAATCACATTTGACTCAGTCAACGAAAACAGAGGAGGTTTCGAAACGTTAATAATAACTTGCCAACACTTATCTGGTTGGATTAAAGAGTTATTTATTAAAGATTCGTTTTCCTTTTCTCTTTTTCCAATTTTTGTTTTATTTAGTTAGAAATCCAACGGGACAAAGTCCCAGTTACAGAATAAGGTAAAACAGAAAACCTTAACTAAATTTTAAAAGAAAAAGACAAACTAACATTAAATATAAAAATATAAGTACTACATAAAATAGAGCAATCAAAATATAAAATCCAGACAAAAGTACTTAAGTATAAACAATAACAGACAAATAAAACAAATAAGCTAACTAATATATACAAGATAAGGATTACATTTGCTAGGCAAACAATTTTTTTGTGTCATTCATACAATGACAAAATATATCAAGTGGATCTTCATACTTCTGATAATTGGAAATCATTTGATCTAGGGGAGATGCTATTAGTAAATTGGTACGATAAATTAAAAAATTAAAACAAGTAAGCAATAAATCCTGAGGTGTACCACGAGGAGGATAAAATCCATAACTAATAAAAGTGAATAGTCTTTAAAATCTCTGTTGCACTTTTTCTGATTGAATATTATAAACATTATAAATGGGACTCCAAGCAACCGATGCATATTCAAGTTTGCAACGCACAAATGCTGCATACAATATATTTAGAACCTTTACGTTCTGAAAGTCCTTAGAATTAGGCAAAATAAAGCCTAAATTCTTATAAGCAGATTTAGATACTAAACTAATGTGCTCGTCAAACGATAGTCTAGTATCGAATGTAACACCAAGGTCAATAAATTGCGTAACTCTATTTAAAAAAGATTCTACAATTTTATAATCAAAATATAGATTAGTTTTGCGTCACCTGTAAGACATAATTTTACATTTGCTTACATTCAGAGGTAGATTATTATTTCATGAACACCAATTGTGTAATCTGTCAAGATTATCTTGTAATCTAGTATAATCAGTAGAGGATTTAACTTCCACGAACAACTTCAGGTCGTCCGCACAGAGTAAAAAGTTGAGATCGAAGCATTCAGTTAAGTCATTAATAAAAAATAATAAATAACAGTGGTCCCAGGGCTGACCCTTGCGGAACTCCTGAACATTGGCGGAATTAAGCTCGGTAAAGACACTTTACTAGCTCTTTTATCACTTTTCCGATCTAAATCAGCAACGACGCACTTTAAGTAGAAAGTGATCGGCTACAGATATTTTCTGGAGCAGCAGCTTAAAAAAAATCTTTTACCGTTCGAACATTAACAACTCCAACGCATGTTACAAGGACAAATAATAAATTATTGGTGCTTTATCTCGAAGAACATTATTTAAATCTCTTTTGTTGCACAGACCCTATTACAATCATGGGGTGTGAATAAATGCAAACCACTCTGACTGCGTTTTCAAGTAAAATTAATCATTAAATTTTTTTACTGTATATTGAAACAACTTATTTTATTTTCTAGAATTCTTGAAAAAACCCCTGGACGACTACATCCGCACATTGCCTGTCAAAACTACAATCCTTCGCAGCCCTGAAAGAATAGGGTTGATTAAAGCAAGACTGAAAGGGGCACATGCGGCAAAGGGCGAAGTACTGACTTTTCTAGACGCTCACTGTGAGTGCACTATCGGGTGGTTGGAAAGCCTCTTAAGTGTGATCAAAAACGACAGAAAAACGGTAGTATGTCCCGTCATTGACATTATAAGTGATGATACATTCGCTTACGTCAAGAGCTTTGAGTTGCACTGGGGTGCGTTCAATTGGAATCTTCAGTTTAGGTAATTTTTCTGATTATTTGTATGATAAGAGAAATAAAGACAAAATTTTATAGACAAAAACACAGACCCACAAAAAATAGTAGGTCATGCTATTCTTACATGTTTTCGGCAACTGAATCTGAATCTATCTTCTGTTTTGTCCACGTCAGGATTCTTTATTAGCCCGTTAAATTATATGTATGTCTTGAAGAGTTCTCAATGGTATTCAACGCCAAACCATTCAACTGTCAATAGTAAAACTAGATATTTCGTGGGTTTTTCATAGAAACTCCATAACCTTGAAGCCACCTAACCCAGCCCCTATAACATCAGAACCCTATAACTACATAATACTATAAGCCTGATAACCTGAGTGACACTTGAGGAAGCTCATATCTAATGACGATCATGTTGTGTTCTAAAATAACCCTAGTACCCTTCAACCCTATATCAGACACCAACAAAACATTATGACCCCAATAACCTTATAACCCTATAAAGCTGGGAATGGAGTGAACAGAAGAACAAAGGGTTTCAATTGATCATAATAGCTACGGTTGATTAAGCTTAGAACCAAAACTCAAGTGTAGTAACTCCCTTTATTTCTATCTGAAATCACCTTAATATCATCAACTCAAGAACTTCATAGTTCCTTATCCCTGTGATAGTGGTAATGCACTGAACAGATTTGGATTCCTTTGTCTTGCTCACTGCGTTTCCAATCTCATAAGGTTATGGGAATTTTGAATTTTTCTGAGAAATTTTTTTGTGGACAATTTACTCACAGTTGTAGTGATTTTAATCCCGAATAATGGTTAAAATAGTCATTAACACTCTTTGAGCAAAATGTTTCTTACACTCATGAATGTATGAAAATAGAAACATTGAGACTTATTTTAGTGTAAAACTACCACTAAATTTTTTATTGTCTTCGAACAGATTTTACAAAGATAATGTATTTCCTCAATCTGTTCCGCAGGTGGTACACTCTAGGTGGCAAAGAGATGAAGCTGCGGAAAAACGACGCCACACAACCATTCAACTCACCGACCATGGCTGGTGGACTTTTCGCGATGGATAAAAATTTTTTCTTCGAGATCGGAGCCTATGACGAGAATATGAACGTATGGGGTGGTGAAAATTTGGAAATGTCGTTTAGAGTTTGGCAGTGTGGTGGAAAAATACAGATAGCCCCTTGTTCTAGAGTGGGGCATATTTTCCGGAAATCTTCTCCGTATTCTTTTCCGGGTGGGATAAATAAAACACTGTTTTCGAATTTAGCGAGGGTGGCTATGGTTTGGATGGACGAATGGGCTGATTTTTATTTCAAGTTCAACGAAATGGCAAGGTAAGTTTTAGCAAATAGAAAATGCAAGCTATGTGTGATTATTCTATAAATTCTATAAAATATTAAGTTTTATTACTTTTAAATTTATTTTTAGTTTTTTTTTGTCTTCGAATTGTTTTACCAATTGTTACTGTCATTTTTCATTTTTAAATTACATATTGTGTTCCCACCCATTCAGTAATTGGATATTTTCTATTGAATGGTGTATCAAATAAATAAATAAATAAAGAGCGAGATTGATAATATTTATGATAAAATAAAACTATAAAATATCCGTCAATGATAGGTTGAACACCAATCAGAATGAATTACGTCACATCTATATAAACGTAATTTTGTTTCGTTTGAACTTCGACTATCTCCGCAGTATTGTCTTCGTTTAAATAGGTATTTTGTGTTTCCCAACGATCAGTTGCCTAGTTTTGTGTTACCAAAGCCATAGTCAAGAAACGTTAATCATGGCAAATAGCTAGAATTTGCCTAGAATTTATTTGTTGATGATGAGAGAGTTAAGCAGAATTTAGAAATGTCAAACTTCCATGTAANAAATAAATAAATAAATAAAATAATTTGTCTTTCAATAGATCCCCGCTGTTTTTAAAAATAACAAATTTCGGATTGTTTTGTAAGACAACTGGGCTCAAGTATAATAATTTTTAATTTATTTTTTTTCATTATTTTCAGGAATTTGTACAAAGGTATGAGAAGTCTTTGATTGATTAAAATTAATTTTGTTGCTTGATTTAAACATTTTACTACACTATTCCTATGATGATTTAAATTGAAATTTAAATACATATTAGTATTTGCCAGCTTCTTTGTTGTTTCAAGATGTCATTATTTTTTTTAAAGTTTCTAAGTAACGAAATGTGTTTTATTTTCGGTTTTTACAGTGAATATAATCTCCTTCTGATATATGGATAAACAAGACAAAAGAAATGTCATTTTGAGTTTTTAGAACGAAAATATACCTACAACTTTTCGAAAAGATGGATATTGTGTAGCTTTGAAGAATTATGTACTTTTTCAATATGAGATATTTCTGGTTAGACAAAACTAAATTTATAAAATCAACCCCTTGCTTTTGGTGCAATTAATTTTTTTCTCAATGTCGCAGAAATATACCTTTAAATAAAAATAGTAACAGAAAATGTCACAAATAAATAATTAGAATTACTGTTCTAAACTATTTAAAAAATATTCTAATTTTGTAGAGCCGTTAAAGATGAGCAAAATATTACCTCAAGGGTGGAGCTAAGAAGAAAACTGGAATGCAAAAGTTTCGAATGGTATCTCGACAACATCTGGCCACAACATTTTTTCCCTAAGAAGGATCGCTTTTTTGGTCGCATAAAAAATTTGGGAGAAGATATGTGCCTTATTAAGCCTGATAGAAAAGGACTGTCCAATCAACCTATGGGCATCGCAAGATTAGAAAGGTAGGTGAATTCTTGTAATTGGATAAGTTTACAATGTGTGATCAATATTCTCGTCAGTACTCTAGCATCTAAAAATAAAGTAGGTACATGTTTTTTAAAACGTAATGTAATTTTTTTGCATAGTAAGTAACGGTATACTTCTCGTTTAACACAAATAAAGTTTCTTTTAATATTGTGAGCAATATTAAGGAGGGTTCCTTGCCAGATAGTACGAGGGGTCTCTTATAAAAACGTAGTTCCAAAAACGTCTGCTGTCGGAGTTAAACCTTATTGAAAGACGCGTTAAAATTTAGTTTTTTTTTTATTTCTGAGTTGCACTACATTTTTTTACAAAACAAATTGAACATTTTAGTGTAAAAATCAAGAAACAGGAAAGTTTCTTAATATGCCATTTTTTTAATGCTAGTTGAAAAACTGTAAAAAGACACAAGAGATAAGGGTTACAATTTTCAACCCCAAAAGGGGATCTAACTCCGATAACAAGCGTCTCTCCCTTTCTTTTGAACAAGAAATCGATCTTTAAAATTTTTCGCAGTATTAAAGAAACTAAACTTATACCTACCTTATACAGGGTACTTATAGGGTACTAAAAATAGTAAATTCTACATAATATAAAAAGAAAGCAGTTTTGAGTTCAGTGAAAAAGAAAATTAGTTTTTTTTTAGGTGTTTGGGTGATGACGTAGCCATGGAACTATTCGTTATGACAAAAGAAGGGTTTGTTATGACCGACGATTCCATATGTCTGGACGCCCCTGAAAGGGTGGGAATTGGACCCTTGAAAGTCAGAATAATAGCTTGTAGCGGTTTCAGCAGACAAAGATGGAAGTACTACGAGAAGGTAAGTCATAGAGGACACCAGATATCTCAATTTAAATTCAAGGGATTTTAATTAATTATTATCATTTGTTAATTACGGGAACCATATGTGCCTAATATATCTTACTGATATGGAAAAAGGCAATTATTTTATTTACAAAACAATTAAAACCCTCTTGATTTTCCTAACAATCTGTAACATTTTCGTTTGAGGATCACTTTATTTTTTTTTTAAATTATCATCCTGCAACAAGCAAGAAGTTAACATTTTTATAAATTTGAAGACAAGCAGAAATATAAAGACTGACATTTTCCCATAAATTTCAAAATAAAATAGGCACAATCGTGGGTCACATTGTATATGTACCTATACTTTATTCAAGGGAAAGGAGAATTAAAATGTGGATTTAATAAATATTCCCTATTTTTTTTTAGACAAAAGAATTTCTTCACATCACTAATCACAAGTGCTTGGATATAAGCAATACCAAAAACTTCACAGATGGTCTTATCATTAACGACTGCAACGGAAATCCATCACAGAAGTGGCGACTAGAAGTTGTACCTTGGAAATAATTTAACAAATTTTCAATTTCTATAACTATTTATAACATAACATTAACTTATTGATTAAAATTTATATTTTAATAAATTTGGTTCAAATTTTTTATACCTACAATTTTTTTAAAACTGGACCAAGTATACATATTGTTTGGAGGATATTTATTTGTAACAAAGTATTATTAGTTTCCATTTCTAAAAAAATTTAATTGATTATTATTTTTATTTTGAAACCGGCAATTCTTTAGATATAAATGTTTATATGTTGTTCACAGAATCAAACAGATGAGAAATGATGAACATAAGTAAAAAGTTTCTTATGAACATGACTCCGAAAATGTAAAATAGTACAGGGTGCTAAAGGAATACTGTTAGAAACATATCTTTATAAATAATTTATAAATAATAAATATTATTTGAATGAATGAATCTCATAGATGAAAAGTTATTCATTTTTTCAGAGAGAACAAGATAGTCGATACTCCTTTTAATTACATATTCACTGTTTCTGTTACTCCGACAGGAACATAAATATAACCGTTTGGTGCAAAGAGTTCACTTCATAAATTTGGTTTTGATTAACTAGAAACATCTCCCACTGATAAACATAATCACTAAACACATTACACAGTTTACGTTTCGAGAAACTCTGTTTTCGTTATCAAATAGTCATCAAAGTCAAATGTTTGACTTTTGAGTATATGTATAGAAAGAAGTAAGTAATAAAGTTAATATCGTACATATAATATCCCTCTTAAAAGCGGATATAGATTTACGAAACGTACCGTTTTAAATTAAGGTAATATAATGGTGAGTAATTTTTTTATGTGCCTGTTCTTATCAGCCATCTTTAGATAGACACAAACCGTTTATTAAAAACAACCCTTAATTGGCTTATGTCGTGAGGGTTTTTTAGTTAATTTTTATCACAGGCTACCAAATAACCAAAAAAATAAAAATTATTAATTTACTATCTAAATTTACTACAGAGCTTTTTAGTATCACAGGCAAAGTGTCCATTTTGTTTTCAAAATATGAATTTGTAACTTGGATTAGAAATCCTTACCATAGCTAACTTAATTTTTGTTCACCTCATAATTCTCCTTTGATGTACCTTAAAATAAAAATGTGTATATTCACACAATTTAACATATCCATTGTATAAATTAAAAATAAAATTGGTCCGAAATCAGAGCCCTGAGGAACTCCTGAGGTGACAGGCAAGGAATAGGAAAATTCATCATCAAGAATTACTGTTCGATGCCTGATATCGAAATAAGATTTTAAAAAATACTGATTGCATTATTATTAAAACCGTAATACATATATCAAACGCTTTTGAATAGTCAAAGCTCTATTTCCTTCACCCAGTAATGGCTATTAATAAAGTACTGGTAATATAACCTATCTGAAACCTGATTGAAGGTGAGACATGATGACATACTTATATAAATGGCTGTCTACAACTTCTTCTAATATTTTAGACATTATTAATTGATTTCAAATCATTATAATTTTGTGGAACACTTATTTTTGTTATACCGATCAATGGGAATATATTTTAATTTGAAACATTTTATTATATGTGTATGTGTAGTATTTGCTAATTAGCGAAGTGAATAACTGTAATATTTTAGCGGAAATATTAGCAGCACCGTAAGCATTATATTTTAATTTTAATATCAAGAAATTTAGATCAGTAGTTGTTGCTAATTTAAATCATTCCTAAAACAGTTTCTATGTTACCAATTTGCTATTTAGTATACAAATTGTAAGTCTGGCTAAAAACGGTTGCAAAATAGTAGTTTACCGCATCATGTTGACGAAGGTGAACATTGAAATTTGTTAAAGGGTTCCAAAGGTTTTGAGTGTTATTACGGTTTTGTGCAAAATTTAAATAAGCAGCCCTTAAAAAAAAAACAGTTTTACATTCATTTTAATTTAATATTATCCTCAGCCAAGATGCATATGACTTTGTAACATCTTTGTAATATGAAATGTTACATAAGGGGCTAGTACATCAAACAATGATAAATGAAGAAATGCGTCGCCGTTTATTTCATTTATATTAGACAAGGCGAAATCGGCGGCTTCGTATGAAAAAATTTGTGGATCCGATTTTTTTGCATAATCACCTCCGTGGGATGTCTCTGAATGAGGATCAAAATGTTACCGGCCGGTAACCTGGTCACAATTTTTTTAAACTAATTTTTTTTTAAACAAATTGCAAAAATAACTTGTTTTGCCCCGGAAAACCCAGTTTTGATTAGGTATTTTGGGGTATTCTAAACAAAATAGTTCCTATGCACTATCCGGAGCAAAACAAGTTATTTTTGCAAATTTGTTTAATAAAAATTAGTTTAAAAAAATTGTGACCAAGTTACCGGCCGGTAACATTTTGATCCTCATTCAGGGACATCTCACGGAGGTGATTATGCAAAAAAATCGAATTCACTAATTTTTTCATACGAAGCCGCCGATTTCGCCTTGTCTAANGACTTTGTAACATCTTTGTAATATGAAATGTTACATAAGGGGCTAGTACATCAAACAATGATAAATGAAGAAATGCGTCGCCGTTTATTTCATTTATATTAGACAAGGCGAAATCGGCGGCTTCGTATGAAAAAATTTGTGGATCCGATTTTTTTGCATAATCACCTCCGTGGGATGTCTCTGAATGAGGATCAAAATGTTACCGGCCGGTAACCTGGTCACAATTTTTTTAAACTAATTTTTTTTTAAACAAATTGCAAAAATAACTTGTTTTGCCCCGGAAAACCCAGTTTTGATTAGGTATTTTGGGGTATTCTAAACAAAATAGTTCCTATGCACTATCCGGAGCAAAACAAGTTATTTTTGCAAATTTGTTTAATAAAAATTAGTTTAAAAAAATTGTGACCAAGTTACCGGCCGGTAACATTTTGATCCTCATTCAGGGACATCTCACGGAGGTGATTATGCAAAAAAATCGAATTCACTAATTTTTTCATACGAAGCCGCCGATTTCGCCTTGTCTATATATATTTTCTTTTAATTTGGATATTATTCTCAATGTGAACAATATGTATCGGTATATTATTATCATTCTGGTATTCGGTATTTTGCCGTATGTTACACAATCCATGAAGTCGGTAACCGAGATTTTATATTTAAATGACCAGTATTTAATTTTTTGTTTATACTATTATGAACCACAATTTATCCTAGATTGAATCGACGCTATTTTATGTTTTATGTAAAATTATTTACACGTAAACGATATATTGTCACATCGAAAATAACTCTCCAATACTCGGGAAAATTGGTAAACTTACTTAAAAAGTGTTAAACTTAGATGCAGTGCCAATTAGTCTTCTGACATTTACAGGAGCATGATAAGAGCCCCTATTGTCCTGTGCATTTGAGCGTAACTTGGTAAAAACTCTAAATTGCCGTACGCTGTCGGGCCTTATGTAACCGAAATTATCACTCGGAGAGGCAGATTATGTCGGAAATGGGCACGTGCTTTCTAGACCAGTGGCACGCAAATATCAAACTATGCGCAATCGGTATGGGCACACACTGTTCATATCAAGTGAATTATAATTGATTGGAACCGATGTTAATTCACTGTGTTTTACAGACCTCTCCCATGTATTATTTTAATTTATTGTAGACCAAATGTATCGAATGAAAAACAGATTTTCACGAAAATCTGGAGGTTATAGTCGTTGACAGATGGCTGAAAAAAAAATCGATACTCTAATAAATCTGAATTAATGAATCAGTTAAACCTTAGGTCACATGTAAATTTTTCTCCACCTTTGTATTTGATCAAATCGTTTTGTTTCGTGAACAGGTGTTTTCGCATAAAAGTACACCTCCCCCTTATTTTTTTTCTATCCAAAAAAAATATATTTCAGCCAACGGTGTCACGAATTTTTTTTAAGATCTCAGAGAATATTTAAGAAAGAATCGATATAAATCAAGTTGCTTGTGTTTTTTATGGAATAGCATGTATATTTGCCGCCTACTGAAATCGTTTGTCTCCCCGAAAGAATTTACGAATTTCGAAAATTGATTTAACTTACTAAACTTACAAATTGCCTCATGTTAAAGTAATTATATCCTTACATGCAGAATGGTTCCTGAGTAATCTGAAATATGTATTTCACAGGTTGATTCTAGAGTTTCAATAATAGAATGTTTTCTTTTTTTTCAAACTTTGAACAATTATTATAGAGCACGTTTTAGTGTAAACTAACATTTAATCACCTCGGCGGAAAACCATAGCAGTCAATTATTTAAAGAAATAACTGACAATTTTAATTTTGATTATTTTTCGATACCATCGTTCATTACCTGATAAAGGACGTATGTTAGTATTATTTCATTTAGACCTTAGTTCTGGGGAAAAACGGAATTTTATTAAAAATAAAACAATAATGTGATGCAAATAAAATGACAGACTACATTTTTCAGATAACACAAGTCGCCAAAAATAGAATTTTTTTGGTTTTTAGATCAGACATATCATAATTTCTTATAGATTTTGATGTGATAAAGCCAAATTTGAAAAGTAAAAAATTTTTCATAGTTTACATTTTTTGAAATCGCAGACAGAAGTCTCTTCTATATTGAATATACAGTTATCTCAATACTGCTCTTGGTAAATATGAAGAATACCGACTCTATGCCGATTTTAACCTAGATGACTGGTGATTTTTGGGTGTTGAACACGAATTTGATGTCCAAACTTGTCGGACAGCCCCTTTTAGGACAAAAAAGGGCGAAAAGGGCAAAAACAATTATATTGAAAAAAAGAGGTGTAAGATGTGTACATAAGCATGTATTTTTGGGTTATCCACATAGTTCCGACGTCAAGAAACGGCACTCTGCCCTTCCAAGGACAAAAAGGCCAACAATTTAATTTTATTAAGAAAAACCTCAAGCGTGTAGTATTTTTTAAGAATAGCCCAACCGGACATAACTAGTACCAACCTACGCATGTTGCAGTTGGAAGAATTTTAACCCTTTGTGAGGGTTCTACCAAGTTTTTACCACTTCTATGGTCAACCACAAACCTTGGTTGGCAATTCGAAGTAAACTTATTTCCGTTATCTACTGTACCTACTTTGACATATATTCAAGGC